TCCTACCAGAAATCATTAAAATTGCTTCACTACCTTCAAAGATATCGTCATTTTTCCATTTTCCAATTTCGGAGGGGCTGTTTCACCCCCTAAATATGTTTTTCTGCCGCTAAAAAAAATACGTATCTCTTAGTTTTTCATGTTTTACAACATATCCAAATTTCATCAAAATCGGAGATTTACACTTCGATAGGTTTACTTGTCAGACAATCGACTCAGTTTTACGACACGGACAATTGCCCTTAACGACTCGAAAAAACTGCGAACTGCCGCAGCTTCGAAAAATCGGGGTTTATATAGTGATTCCCCTTGATTTGTCAGGCTCTGATTGGAGGAGGAATTTGTTAGTTTAAACAAAGGGCCAAGTTTCTCGCCCCGGAATTGGTTGGGAGTTAGGATGCGTCTTGGAGGTGGGAAGGAGCTTGACCGATGTCACCGTTATCTTAAAATTTATGGTCTTCTTACTTAATTTACGCGAGGGGTTGCACGTGCACCCTTTGTCGCGAGGCCGCCGTGTGACAGATTTTAATTTTTACGAGCGCAACTCGTGTAAATCATCCGCGATTTGACCGTTAGAAAAGCGCTCTGTCGCCAGTCTTGCATTTTTCGTTGTGAAAGTTTATGGCTTTTCTGTTTTTCGGTGACAGTAGAGTGTATATTTATTACTTTTTCTAGCCGAGACTTCGAAAAGATGATTCGCGTTTTCACGGTTCGTGTACGTGCGCTCGTAAATAATTTGTCTTAGAATGACATTTATGACGAGATACCGAGTGCCTTTATTTAGGTTTTTGGTAAAGCGACAGCCGGACTGTTGGTCATTTATTTATGGTCTCGCTATCTCAACACTTGTAGACCTTTCCGAAAGAAAGAATCGTGAGGATCATCTGGACGTAACAACAGTCTAGCTTAGATCTTTTAATCGCTTACATATAAACTACCGTGGTACTATCACGAATTAAAATTAATTAACTAATATACATAGTTCGGCGCGCAATTTGGGGGGACTACGTATATTAGTTAATTATTAATTAATTTAAAAAAAAGGAAAGTAGATCATTTCTGGACTCTTAGAATTCCAAAAATTCGATCGACAACGGGCAAATGAGAGTACGGCGTGGTTATTATTACGCAAATCCAATAAAAATTGATAGATTTTCTCAATTTATTCAAGTTTTAGAACGTTTCGATTCATATAGAATCTTCATCAGCTAATACAGCATATCCATAAATTCATCTATTATACATAATAATTAATACTTCTTGTGGAATATGTCACATCACATTGTTAGATGAGATGTTCAAAATCTAAAATTATATAAATTATGTCATTTATCAATACAATACTGAACAAACAATCTCAAGTAACATACCTCACAAGATACAATAAAACAAATCCAACTCAAATCGTTCATCTTAGGTATTACAAATAGCCAAAAGAGAATTAACCATAAACCATCTTATATAAAAATTACATCATAACAGTACAATGGCCAAACGACGACTAATACTAACATTATATCTTTACAAATATCTGTGATAGAAAGTCAACTAATGATAAACAACATCGTTCTTGTTCGAAAGTTATAAATCAAAACATTTAAAATAATCAAAATAAATCTAGTTAGAAAACAGAATAAAATAAATTAGTAAAGGAAGTTAAAATAATACAAAAAATTAGAAACAAAATTCGAGCACAAATGTCTATGAAGTCAAAAAAATTTTCAATATATTGAGACAACTTTTAAATTCAGCAATTATTTAAGTTAAATTTCGTTTAATATTACTTTATAGTTGTGGTGTAAACCATCCGTATCATTTTGTCTATTCAAGCCCTTGTTCTGCAAATGAATATGAATGTATTCTGACACAAGACGTCTGTTCAAACAACGTTCACAATCAAGAATCTTGATGTCATCCCACTTAAAATCATGATTACATTTCAATCTGTGCTCAGTAATTACAGAATGCGTATCAGTTTTATGATTAATATGGTTTTTAAGCTCGGCGATTCTTGTTTTTAGTCTCCGTCCCGTCTGTCCAACGTATGTCGCATCGCAAGAATTACAAGCTATTTTATAAATCACATTTTTATTTTGTTCTTTAGGCAACGTGTCCTTCTGTGCTCTAATAAATTTATCCAATTTATTAAAGCTTTTGAAGACTAACTTAGTGTCGAAAATTTTGCTAATTCTTTTGAAACCTTTCGATATTGAAGGAATAAACGGAATCACATACCATGGTTGCAAATATGTTGAACTATCACCATTAACGTCAACCAATTTGTTTTTACCACTCATCAAATATCTGAATCTAACATTAATTGTATTAAAAATAAAATCCATCGGGTAATCATTATTAAGTAAGGTTTCTATGATGTAACTTAAATTTTCTTGATGGTATCTCGGGTGTGAAAGTAAATATGTCCTATCCACCATACTTAAAATAATTCCTTTCTTTTGAGATATCGGATGAGAAGAGTAAAAATTTAAAAACCTACCAGATGAAGTAGGTTTGCGGTATACATTAAATTTCAAAACACTATCATGGTTAACCAGTTCGATATCTAAAAAACTTATTCTATCCCCACCAATTTCTACTGTAAACTGTAACCTTTCATGAAAAGAATTAAAGGCATTCAACGTCTGATCAATAATATTCTTAGGTATAGCCATGATAATGTCGTCCACATAACGATAGTAAAAAAGTGGTTGTGTAGTTAATTTATTCAGTGCTTCATCTTCTAAGTCACGCGTTACTAAATCAGCTATAATTGGAGACAAAGGTGAGCCCATAGGGATACCAAAGTTCTGTCTATAAAAACAACCGTCAAAACTAAAAAACGTGGAGTTCAGAACCAAATTGACAGCAATTAGAAATTCTTCTTTAGTAATTTTAATCTTATCCTTAATGTGATTCCATTTACCCTCTATACTATCAATAGCCTTATCAATCGGTATATTCGTAAACAACGAAACTACATCCAAAGAGATCAATGAGTAATTAAAATCTATCTGAGTGCCATTTAATTTGTTAACCATTTCAAAACTGTTCTCTATGTTCCTGGGCGATTTTGGATTAATTTTAATTCGTAATAGTATCGCGGTAGTTTATATGTAAGCGATTAAAAGATCTAAGCTAGACTGTTATAGACTTCGTATTTGTATTAGTTATGTTCTTACATTAACGGTCTTTAGTATTGAATATTGTTTATTTGCCTGAAAGGAAGCGTTGATCGTTTCACACATATACCAGTTATTGCGAGAAATATTACTAAGGCCTCGGTAGTCTAATTGGCTAGGACACTTGCGCGTAAAGCAAGGTGTCCGGGTTTGTCTCCCGGCCGAGGTACTATTTTTCGCAATAAGAATAATTTTCCGTATTTAGTGTTTTCAAGTTATTGGAGTTGCGTTTCAAGACCGACGATTGTTTGGCACGCAATTTGGGGGTACTACGTATATTAGGTAATTATTAATTTAATTTAGTTCGTAATAGTACCGCGGTAGTTTATATGTAAGTGACTAAAAGATCCAAGCTAGACTGTTATAGGCTTCGTAATTCTATTAGTTATGTTCTTACATTAACGATTTTTAGTATTGAATAATTTTTAAAAAGTGATTCTTTATATAAATTTAAGACGAAATATTTATATGATTATATGGTCGAAACGATTTAGTTTGGAAGACACTGAGTGTCAAAGTAGAAGAAAACCACTTAGGTTATTTTAATGAAATTTCGTTGTTTAATGTTTGTAAAGTTTCATTAAAACAATTTGAGTCATTTTCCAAATTTTTAGAAAGACCAAAATTTCTTTCTCTCAGCTTTAACAGTTTCTTTGAAACTAAACTGTTTAAAACATAAATATGAAGGTTTCGTCGTAATTAAACCCGATAATAAAGTACGAAAAAACACATCTTAAAATGTCTGTTAAGCTAGCACCCCCCCCCCCCCCCACAAAAAATCAAAACGGCATCTATGCCAGAATTAAATGCTATTTATGTGCTAATTATGTGTTCTGATGCCAATTTTTGTGCTCGAACGGTTTAGCAAAAGATCGCAATTAAAAGTGGGGGTGCTAGCTTAACGTTAAGTTAGCATTTCCCCTATTAAATCATACACAGAATTAAAAAAATAGTATAGTAAAATTATGTACATTTTATGTGCTTTCAATATCATCAATCAAAATTATTGTAACAGTAATAGTTTCAGAGATACACGTATATATCTATAAATTTCGATACATATTATAACAAAGGTGCAAGAATAAAATGCTAGTTAGAGTGCAAACAGCGAATTGGTTTTAGTCTTAAACTCCACCATTTATGTACTTTCAAAATATGCACAACGAGATTTTTGTGCTCACCCCTTTGTACCGAAAAATCACTCCATAAGTGAACACCCACCGTCTCCTTCCAAGAGTAAAGTGCCAATTAGAGTGCAGGCAGCGAATTGGTTTTGATCTCAAATTGTTTCTCTATTTATGTGCTTTGGTAAATACACAGTATATACAGTATGGCAACTCTCCTGATTTTATGTTGGCAAAAATGGAGTGCGCATGCGCGAAATGGGTAAGTTCCCAGTAACGCCATCTAAACTTCTATCTCATTTCTTCTTATCCGTTCTCTCTATCACTCTCTGTCAGGACCACTTAAATGCTTTCATTTAAATATCCTGTGTTTGTTTATGTGCTTAGAAAGCTGAAATTTCAAGGAAATTAGTATAATTGCCGTTTGTTTGAGTTGTGTTAGTTAGAGAAACTGTTTGTGACTAGAAAGTCTGTGGAAATAAAATAGTGCAAGAGTGAAAAACGTGAAAAAGTGAAAAATATGATATTAAGTAAAACGAGGAACGATCTCTCTTAAGAGAATAGTTAACTTATACAACTGTTGTATAAATTATTTGTCATCTTGGAAGCACTTTTGATCTTAGCTTTGTTCCAGGTATTGCTGTGAAATAATAAAACTTTGTTTTCTAAATTATTGTTATATTAAGTTTAAAACTTCTTTTATCTCATTTTTAGTTGATTATTTTTATTTCAGATGCATAAAAATTATTATTTCATTTTTAATTTAATATAAAATTATTTTATTCGATATTTTTCATAATTATAATCATTATAATAATTGTTTTCTTAAACGTAATCTGTATAACAGTAAATTTTACCTTTTATTGTTTATATTAATATTTTAAATCTGCGGAACATAATGCTTGTGTTTTTCTATCGAATTGCTTACGTTTTAGTTAAAAATCTGCGTTAATTCTCTGTCGTACAATTCTAATAATTTTCAAAAACGCAAGCAATCTACAAGAAAACAAGCATCGTGTGCCGATCTTTAATTAAAATATTTTTACAGTATACTTATACAATATTTATATAATTATATATATTCTTATTTTTGTTTTCTTTTTTTGCAATGCAATTATAACTATAAATCTATTTTTTTTAGTTTTTTTATATTTAAATTAATTTTCTGTACATACAAATAAATTATAGTAGGTAGAAAGAAAGAGAGAAAGAGGAAACTAAAGAGCAAGTGAGATAGAAGTTTAGGTGACGTTACTGGGAAACTTACGCATTTCGCGCATGCGCACTCCATTTTTGCTAACACTGACATCAAAGGTGCCGACAGAGAGTTGTTATAATGTATATACTGTGGTAAATATATAGAAAAGGAGAGCCACCCCCGACGACCTCGACCTTGACATATGTTGTCAAGGTCATGACCCTGAGTAACCTTCCGCAGGTTTTAGATGGCGGTCGCTATCCGTTAAAAAGTTATTAACAGAAAAAGTTTGAAAATTAACGTATCATTCCTGTTATACATGTATGATATTAATTACTATTCTAATAGCTATACATGTATGATATTATTTCTCCTGTACATATATGATATTAAGTACTATTCTACACCTTCCCCTGTTCAGAAACGTTAAACTTTTCACGCGAAATAACTCTCATCTCCCCCATCCCCCTGAAAAGGAGCACACGACTTCTATGATTATACTGTTGCTCTGATTGTACTGTTGGGGGAGGCCTCTACCGACGGGTGGGTGCGGGAGGGGGGGCCGAAGGCCACTCCCTTGCACCTCCCCCCGTGTGTGTTCTATTTGATATATAACGATTATGAGTCTATTACTTGATATTTTACACACACACGGGCGGGATGCCTTCGGCCCCCCCTCCCGCACCCACCCCGTTGGCAGAGGTCTCCCCCAATGGAACAATCAGAGCAACAGTACAATCATAGAAGTCATGTGCTCCTTTTCAGGGGGATGGGGGACATGAGAGTTATTTCGCGTGAAAAGTTTAAGGGAATGCTGGAGTGTCTGTTTTATCATTACTTAGTTAAAGACTCATTTCTCTTAATTGCATTTACGGATGGAAAAATCCTTTTGTATAATTAAAGTATCGACAACAATGAATTGCGCTAGCTACATTTCAATACGAAAAACGGAAGAAAATTAAAAACTTACAGTTTCATTATCGGCTTCTGTGATTTTTGATAACGAAACTGTAAATTTTTTTTCCGTTTTTCGTATTGAAATGTAGCTAGCGCAATTCATTGTTGTCGATACTTTAATTATGCAGAAGGATTTTTCCATCCGTAAATGCAATTAAGAGAAACGAGTCTTTAACTAAGTAAGTAATGATAAAACAGGCGGGTCCAGCATCACCTTAACGTTTCTGAACAGGGGAAGGTGTAGAATAGTACTTAATATCATGTATGTGCAGGAGAAATAATATCATACTTGTACAGCAGGAATGATACGTTAATTTTGAAACTTTTCTGTTAATAACTTTTTAAAGGACAGTGACCGCCACCTAAAACCTGCGGGAGGTTACTCAGGGTCATAACCTTGACAACATATGTGAAGGTTAAAGTCGTTGGGGGTGGCTCCCATTTTCTATATATTTACCCATATATTGAAAGCACATAAATGGTGGAACAATTTGAGACTAAAACCAATTCGCTGCCTGCACTCTAACTGGCACTTTACTCTTGGAAGGAGACAGTGGGTGCTCACTTATGGGGTGATTTTTCGGTACAAGGGGGTGAGCACAAGGATCTCGTTGTGCATATTTTGAAAGCACATAGTAGTAGTAGTAGTAGTAAATAAATGCAGGTGCACTTTATTAGCCTTCAAACGTGATCTAGATCCATGGGGTTCCATTGTCACTCCCTGCTTGTTCCGTAGGTTATTCAGTCGAGCCTAGCCTCGTATCATTTACCAGGCTTATTAAACTGCTGACCATCGCATCTTTTAGATCCTTGGGTGTCATAAATATATTTCCCCAGGATCTGTATCTTTTACAAGCGAGTACAGGGCAACGGCACAGTAGGTGCAGGTTGTCCTCGCTTTTTTCTCCACATAACCGGCATTCTTCTGCTCCGCTAGTCCTAGGTTAAATATCGTGCTTTGAGGGATATGTGTCCTGTCAGGAGGCCTATACCGCTCCTCAGTTTTGCTTTTCCCATTGCCAACAGTTCTCTAGTTCTTGTTGGTTTGGGATGTCTCATGAATTGTTTGGCTCGTTTACAGCCCTCTTCCAGGAGCTCGAGTGCTCACGTTCAAGCCACTCTTTGATCATTTTTGTTCCTGCTGAAAATGGGACACCGACGATCTGTTCAGTCGGAACCTTTTCAGTGCTCAGCCTTGCCAGTTCGTCCGCTCTCTCATTTCCAGGTATACCCTGATGTCCAGGAACCCATACTAGGGTTACTTAATTTGTTACCCCTAGTGTTGTGAGTGCTTGCATACAGTCCCTTACCACAGATAATGCTGTGGTGGTTCTTACAAGTGCTTCGATAGCTGCTCTGCTATCTGTGTAAATGTGTATTTGTTTTCTGCTTTTCCCCTTTAGCAGGAGTATTGCATATTTCAGAATGGCCAACATTTCAGCTTAAAATACTGTGGCCATCTCACCCATTGGTATGCTTACCTCATGGTTTATATTGGGCCCATATATGCCTGCCCCATATCGTCCATTTGCTCCCGATCCATCTGTGAACCAAATGTCTACGTTTGGATTGGTTTTGAAGTTAGGTTTTCTCCAGTCCTCCCTAGTCGGTATTTGAACTTTAAAAGTCTTCATAAACTGGTATCTTCTGGGGATCCTGTCTTGTTTTAAGTTGAAAGGATGTTTATCGGAAAGTCCCAGTCTGGTGTGTCCAGTCCTGGTTTCCTTCCACTCACCTTGATATTTTAGTTTGTATGCTGTTTGCCTGGCTATGTATTTAATCACCTGGTTTAGGGACGGAATACTGAGTGCCACTTGTAGCGCCTCAGTTGGTGTAGTTTTCATAGCTCCTGTTGCAGCCCTCAGGAATCCTCCCTGAAGGCTTTTGAGCAGGTTCCCTGCCTCCACCTTTTACGCCCTTGACCACCAGATCACCGCTGCATATGTGAGTCTTGGTAATAATACCATCTTGTATAGCCATAAGGCTGTCCTGAGGTTTAGTCCCCAGTTCTTTCTCATGGCTATTCTACAAGCCCACATAGAGGTGTAGAATTTCTTCCTGTTTTCCTCGAGGTGTGGTTTCCAGCTCAATTTGGGGTCTAATAAAACCCCTAAATATTTTACATAATTTATTTCCTTGCTCCAAAGTCTTAGTGTTTCAATGGGTTCCGGTTTGTATTTTCTGGTGAAGATTATGGCCGAGGTCTTTGTAGGGTTTACCAACAGTCCCCTCGTCCTACATCAGTTTTCTACAATTTCCAAGGCTTCGTCCATCCGTTCCTTGAGTATTGAGAGGAAGTTACCCCTAATTATGGCCACGTCGTCCGCATATCCGTAGATTTCGAAGCCTGATTTCTTCAGTTCAGTGAGGAGTTCATCCACCACCAGGCACCACAGCAAGGGTGAGAGTACTCCCCCCTGCGGGCAGCCCGCCGCCGACCTCCCCTCAACTGAGCTATTGCCATGATTAACAATCAGTCTTCTGCTCTTCAGCATGTTTTGTGTCCAGTCAATCAATGTTTCTGGAATGTTGGATCTGTTCATGGCGTCTTTAGTCGACGTGTTTGAGGTGCTATCAAAAGCCCCCTCAATGTTAATGAAGACGCCTATTGCATATCCCTTTGCAGCCATCTGTACTTCAACTCCATTTACAAGGTGATGCGGGGCAGTGTCCGTAGTCTGCCATCCCTATAGGCGTACCGGGACGGGTTCAGCGGCTTTGCAATAAGGTAAAAGTCTTTCAGATGCGTATTAATAAGCCTCTCCAACATCTTTAAGATGAAGGATGCGAGGCTGATAAGTCTGCAGTCCTTGGCCATCATATGGCCATTTTTACCTGGTTTTGATATAAATACCACTCTGGTATCACTTCAGGCTTTCGGAACGTGTCTCAGTGCTATACTAGCCCTGAGCACACTCGTCAGGGGACCTACTAGGACCCTCCTACCCTCTTTGAGTAATACAGGGTAGATACCGTCTGGTCCTGGAGTTTTGTATGGTTCGAAGGTCTTTGTTACGGAATAGGATAAGTTTCGCGCCTCAAAACCGAATAAAGGATCGATTACGCCATCCATCGATTCCGTCCGTAAATCTTTTCGTTGCACTCGCCGCGCCGTCTTACGAAAATCTAATTACTACAATTTATCCGCGTATTTGGATACCCAAAGGACCGATGGCGCTGTTGTCCTGCCGATTCGTCGCGGTAATCGCGCAGCGCGATTCTTCCAGAAGCAATTCAGCACTTGCCGTGACAAGTCGTGCTCTCAAATTCGGAAAGTAGCAACTTTCGTTCGACGTGTTCGCTACCGCGACTTGTTATTTTGTACATCTCATCACGGCTGCCACCGTTGATGAGCATCGGCGTATTAACCACCGTTAATCGCTTCTCTCGCCAACCAAGTGCCACGCGCAAAACACATTATAACCGTGTTTGAATAAAGCTTGCTTACAACTCGTGAATTTAGAGTTCTCATTGTTCTAATAACGTCCAGTCCACCAATCCATCCCGTCACTCGAGATCTCAGTCAAGATCGGAGAAGCGATTTTACACAGTCTTGATAACCCATTCAACTCCATCGGAAGTCACCACCTTGGCTGCCAGTGACCATTATCTTGGTTTACGTTTTTCCCCGGGTTTTTTGGTTTCTTGTAGAGATTCACAGTATCTTTCCTTAAACCCTGGAAAGTGCATAGACATGAGGTGTTTTAAACTTTCCTCTACTGTCTCGGTATAGTTCCTGTTTGGGAGTTTAAGACATCCCAATCTTAGGGTATTGTAGGGACCCTCAAGTAAGGGATCAGACAACAGCGTGAAAGATGCGGATTGGCTGACGCCATTAGTGGGATACTTCCGTTGATTAGGTTAGTATGCTTTCCTTTTAGAGGACACACTCGACACAAACGTCGTTCTATCCTTCTTGACATTCAACGAATGATAAAGATAGAATTATGTTTGTGGCGAGTGTGTCTTCTAAAAGGAAAGCATACTTAGTAATTGCTGATTTAGTTGCTCAGTACTGTTTGTTTAAGATGTAGATATATTATACGTATGTACGGGGTTCGACAATACAGTTTATATATTTTTTTAATCATTACAAAATGCGATACTATGAAATTCCAAATTGCAAAAATTCAAGTAGATCTCCCACAAAAAGAGAAAAATGGATAATCTATCATGCTTCTGGTCGTGTCGGTTGGACACCTAAAAAGTATTCTGCCTTATGTATAATAATATAAGTAGATATAATATTATATAACTATATCATATAATATATATATATATTATGATAGAATTATATCATATTTATCACATATTAATGTAAAGACAAGGAGCAGTTCACAAAGTTCTTAACTATGTTCCGTTTTACGTACGATGCGCAGGATTTATCCTTTCATTCTAGCTTGTTTAATACAGGTCTTAACAACAATGCATTTGAATACTCCCGCGCATTAACTAACGTACTTCCGGTATCCCTCTAATGGCGATGTTGTCTGAGCCCTTATTTGAGGGTTCCTAAGGTATTGTCTTTGCTGAGGATTCTGTTTAGCCTGGATGCTTCTGAAGTGCTCTCTATGCCTTTACAGAAATCCCTCCAACTTTTTCTTTTAGCAATAATTATTGCTTTGCTGTAATCGCGTTGGGCGTTTTTGTACGCTTCCCAATCTGTTGAGTTTTTCCTCCTTGCTATATTGAAGAGTCTTCTTACCTTTAACCTGTGCTTCGAAAGCTCCTTGCTCCACCAGGGAGTTTTGGTTGTAGGTTATTTCGGCCTCTCCGGGTAATTTCCCTCATAGGCTTCTTTTATCGCGTCACATACAAACTGCGCCGCGTATTCAAGATTCTCTTCTGAGTGAAATCTGGTTGGGGCTTTCTTTAGGATAGCCTCCAGGTTCATTCTATAGCCTTCTCAGTTTGTAGATCTTGAGTTACGACTCCATTCTTTATTTACCATATGCCGGAGATTGTAACGAATCTGCCTAAGGTTAGAACCCGAGGGCTCTCCAGAGACCCTCCAGTCCCGTACCAGGTCCGCCACCCTTTTTGTGCTTATGGTGATATCTAATACTTCTTGTCTTCTGCAGTCCATGAAGGTGGGTACCGTTCCTCCGTTTAGGATAATCATACTGGTTTCCATAATGAATTTGTGGAGGCTCCCTTCCCTCGGGTTTATATTCGAGCACCCCCACCCTATATGGTGGGAGTTTGCATCGAAACCCAATAGGAGTTCGAGCCCCCTTTCTTTCACGTAGGACACTAGTCTATTACCTTTTTTGGTTGTAGTGCTTCTTGAGAATCATAGGGCATGTAAGCTGACCCTATGAGTATGTCCAAGTACCTGTCCTCACCGTAGTCCAGCCTTGTCCGCATAACGGTGGTGTCGCCGTAAAAATAGCATTTAGTCCCTTAATTGCAATGCAGGTCCTAATTTTGTCCCGAGTGTCTGCTTTATAGATGGTTCCACAGCCACTCAGTCCCTTTATAGCGTTATTCAGGAGCCAAGGCTCCTGAATTATTGCTATTACTATCTGCATCCCAGCTATGCTCCTGGCTAGAATCGCCGAGGCGCTTTTGCTGTGATGCAAGTTAATTTGTACTATTGGTACTGCGAGTCCCGCCATTTTTAAGCTGACCCACTCGCACCAACAGTCACTCTCTCCTTTGGTTCTTTGTCGAGCAACTTTATGGTTGCCCGACCCAGCCCGCAGAAGGGTTTAAAACCACAGGCGTTCTGGACATCCAGCGAGCGATCGCCGATCAGAGCAGCGAAGTGGGCGCTTTTCGCGTCCCTACTTCCGCTCCCCTTCACGACGACCCACTCCCTAGCGCTCAGACCCTTTATCGCCTGGGCATACGACCCTTGGTCAGTGACCTTGGGTCTCTTGCCCGGGCGATTCTCCGTCGGACTGAGCGTTTGGTGCACCGGTCTGGCACGCTTATGCGTGCCCACCGTCGCACCACTCCCCCGCCCGGCGGAGTAGGGATATTTGAAGGAGCAGGAGAGTTGGCTTTCTCAGCCCTCTCCTTCTCCTTTTTGTAGCGGCGCCTTGCAGTCCCGCGGGTCTTAGGTAGACCCTCATTCGCTGCTTTCTCCTCCTCAGGTTGTTTGCTTCCTAGGAAAACCACCCCCGAGAGGACTTTATTTAAATCATTGTTTCTATTCATGTCATCTATTTTATTCCCACAAGTACCGCGGTCGCGCGATCTCACCCGGACAGAGCCGCGAATGCCCGGGGCTTGGCTACGTACTCCTGGAGTTCGTCCGGTATCAAGGCCCCGTACCTACTTTCACAGGTCAAAAGTGGGCCTCGTGTCATATTACCGCGGGTAGTGCGGACCACGGGCACCCCTGGTGTCCCGCGACCCGCGAGCCCCCGCCCCACAACTTATTCAAGGTGGGAACCTTTTCGGGAGGTGAAAGCACATAAATCGAGGAACAATTTGAGACTAAAACCAATTCGCTGCCTATCATACACTCTAACTGGCACTTTACTCTTGTAAGGAGACGGTGGGTGCTAACTTATAAGGTAAATTTTTGGTTCAAGGGGGCGATCACAAAAATCTCGTTGTGCATATTTTGAAAGTACATAAATGGAAGAACAATTTGAGACTAAATCCAATTCGCTATCTGCACTCTAACTGGCACTTTACTTTTGCACCGTTGTTATAATATGTATCGAAATTTACAGATATATACGTATATCTCTGAAACCGTTACTGTTACAATAATTTTGATTGATGATATTGCAAGTACATAAAAAGCACATAATTTTACTATACTATTTTTTTAATTCTGTGTATGATTTAATAGGGGAGGTGCTAACTTAACGTTAAGCTAGCACCCCCCCCCCTTTAATTGCGATTTTCTGCTAAACCGTTCGAGCACAAAAATTGGCATTAGAGCACATAATTAGCACTTACTACTCTCATAGGTGCCGTTTTGATTTTTTGTGAGGAGTGCTAGCTTAACAGACATCTTAAAATCTTTTAACGTACGTAGTATATATATATATATATACTAGGGAGCCTAATCAGAAAGTCACAACTTAATACATGATGCAAATTGTGCGCTGATTAGCTCAGAATGCATAGAGATCCATGATCCTGAGGAAAGGTTAGCTTTATAATAAAAAGAAGATATGAATAATGGACAGTCCAGTGAGAAATCGATGTCAATTCGACGTCAATTTGATGATTTTGATGTCGAATTGCCATTTTTCGCTAAGAGTGTGCTAATCAGAATCTTATATTTCATTTCTCTTTTCCTAGTATTTACAAATATTTCGAGAGCTTATAATCAGTGTAACCAACTCGTCACGTGGTCCGAATCGCGCGCTGATTGGCTCATGGCGCGTGAAGATCTATGTCGCTGAGGGGATCACATATCAAATTGTCGACTCTCTGATTATAGACTCTCTATTATATACCTCGTATAATATAATAACACAAAGCTACTTAAAAATTTAAATATTTTATCACACTCTCTGTTATAATATTGGTCAAAAAGTCCAAACTGATACATACAACAAATTGTATTTTTAAATGCTTGTTCTCGTTAGTTCTTAGCAAAGCAAATTAGACTTCCTGACGACCAATGATATACGTAACTTAGCGCCCAATAATTTGGCTCACTTGCATGTAAAATTTATGTCTGATAGCATTCTAGCCCTGATAATAAGCTGATGTCAAAATTACGTTTTTTGATGTCAAAATGATGACAAAATAACATAGTTTGTTACCAGAGAGAGTTAATTTAGTAAAAAGAACGGCCAATCACAGATTGCACAATTAAAAAGTTATTTTCCTTAATCTTATTGCGACATGAAAACAAATCGCAGAATAATTTGCATCAAGGTGGTGAGAGATCCCCTGTTCGAGTTAATGATCACCCTTTGTATCGTCTTGAACACCGGCTTTCTGGCAATGGAACATCATGGCATGAGCGAGTCGATACGGCAAGCGCTCAACATCGGCAATAAGGTGTTCACCAGTATCTTCACGTTCGAATGCTTCCTGAAGCTTTTGGCATTGAGTAAGGATTTTTTCAACAATGGCTGGAACAACTTCGACTTGATTATCGTTTCTGCGTCGCTTATCGATTTAACATTCGAATTGGTAGATGGCTTGTCAGTAATACGCGGTCTCAGACTATTACGTGTTTTAAAACTCGCGCAATCTTGGACGACCATGAAGGTTCTCCTCAGCATCATCATTTCAACAATAGGTGCGCTCGGTAATTTAACTTTCGTGTTGGTGATTGTGATCTATATATTCGCTGTAATCGGCATGCAGCTGTTTAGCAAAGACTACACCTTAGACAAGTTCTATCCAGATCCGGTGCCGCGATGGAATTTTAATGATTTCTTTCATTCGTTCATGATGATATTCCGCATTCTGTGCGGCGAATGGATCGAGCCATTATGGGACTGCATGCGTGCGGAAAGGGATGACGGACCGGGTACGTGTTTTGCGATTTTCCTGCCGGCTCTAGTGATGGGCAACTTTATGGTCCTTAACCTCTTCTTGGCGTTGTTGCTCAACAGCTTTAATTCCGAAGAGTTAAAACAAAAAAAGGAGGAAGTCGGCGAAGAATCGAAGCTCGCGCGTTCGTTCGATCGCATACGATCGATTGTGCGTAAACAGAAGCATCGAAAGGAGAATTCGGAAAACGAGAAGAATATCCGGCTAGAGCAGATCGTGCGCGAGGTGATGGACAAGTCTGACAAAGAGAAGTATGCAATTCAGGAAACCGTACTGAGCCTTCCTAAAGACAATATTTATAATAGATCATATCAAGAGAGTCTCAATCAGCCTGTCTTCACTTACGATTCGATCTATCGTCAAGCCACCCTCACCACCTACAGTCAAAGCAATCAGAAGACAGCCAAAGAAAGTAAGAAGGGCAACAACAATGAGATCAATCCCGAGGAGAGCATAGAGTTGGAGGCGCTTAAGGACGTCAATCCGGACGAGGAAGTAGCCATGCTGCCGGAGGAAAAGCCAGTTATTCGAAATGATGAAAATGTAGGAAAACGTCCATGGCACGCCCTCGTGAGTTATGTGGACGAGCTCACAGTCGGAGGTAGAAGAGATAGTAAAGGAAGATACATCGACGGAATGGGTTCATTTCCCGGGTTCGGCAGAAATAAGAAGAATAAAGAGCCGTTTGATTGCTTTCCCCAGCACTTCTATCAAAAGTAAGATGTGTTTTTATCTTTATGTATATACAGAGTGTCAAGTGAATTAATCAAGTGAATCAGCTATCAAGGACAGATAGAGTATTCCGAACTGACAATGAGCCGAAAAGTCTTATACCATTTTTCAGTTGACGCAATATTTAACGAGATATTAGACCTTAAATATAACCAAATAAGCGCGTTTGTCCGGCCAAGCGTGTACGCCTCTTAATCGCTCTTTATGCGCGTGGGTCGCAAGGCGCGGGGATGGCCTGAGGCATCGTCCGAGTTTAGAGGCTCGCGGCGGTGTGCGCGGCGCGAGACGTTTCCCACTCCCCGCGCGCCAAGCTAACGATGGTGGATATTTAGTAGTAGTAGGCCGGATGAACGCGTTTATTCGGTTATCTTTAAAGTCTAATATCTCGTTAAATATTGCGTAAACTGCAAAATGGTATTTCGACTCAGTTCGGTATATTCTACCTATCCTTGATAGCTAATTCACTTGATTAATGACACCCTGTGTATACATATACATATATATATATCGACAATTTAAAATAGAATATAAAATAAAAATGCTTGAATTATTCTCTCTCTCATAATTTAAATCGAAATTAGATTAAAAATTGTATTTTGTCACTATAACTGTCGTTTTGACAATTTTAGCTCTGTTAATTACACTGATCGACATCATTTTGACCTTAAAGTAAACAAAAATGTTTAAAGTTTGTAGATTTTGATGTGTTGACTACAAATCTCGTCTCGAAAATATATCTCTAGTTTCGAAATACTTTGTAGGTACAAAAAATGAAGTTTTCAGCTGTTTTTAACAAAAGTAATTAACATTTTTTTTTCAACATCGACGCAGATGTCGACATAAAGTGTTAGTTATTGTTATCCTTTCTAACGCGTATTTGATTGCTATGATATGATCCAATTCTTTCTAGCTAGCTCCTGAGGCTGCGTTCGCAAATATCACCTAAGTTTCCCCGAATATCATCTTAATCCTTGTTGTTCATTTAATGTTAAATAAGAATAAGACGATACACAGGAGTATTCAAGTGATATTTTCGAAGGTAGTCCGAGTAGTCACGGCGATCATGTTGAAATCGAGACGTCATAAACAAGAATGATACGTTCATTTTTGTTGCGTCCTATTTTTAAATAAAGACAATTTAGATGTGTCTTAACGACGAGATCGCTTTACAACATTTGTAAGTAAGGATGCCGTCAAGATTTAAGATTTCAAGAATCTTGCCTCGTCCCAAATTTCAAAACGTGATCGAGACAAGATTAGTGTGACGAGTTTGAAAACAAGATTTTAGACTCAAGATTCTTGAAAACCTTGAGTCTCGAAAAATTATAGAAATTATTCTATTCTTTGTAAAATCTTTCAGAGCTGATAGAAATTATGAAAATGATAGAAGGAGATGACAAATTTTAATTCCGAAAAAATCAAACTAATATTAAAAACATATTTAAATACTTTCATAAAATGATTTTTTTAAAGCCATTTTTAGAAAAGTTCATAAATTACTGCAGTTATTCCAACAATTTAAGATAAAGTTTTGAAGTTTGAACAAGTTTAAAATTTTCAAGTTTTAAGTAATAAATATAAGCTAACTTTGATATTTATGGGGCACTAGGATTTATGTCGCAGAAGTCAGAAAAAAATAGAAGAAATGAGTAAAATAAAACTACTGTCAATTGAATCGATTTGTGAATGTAACAGTAGCGCAATCTAGCAGTCCGACACCGTAGGAAAAATACTGCGGAAACCCAACATTGCGACGCTGATCGTTTAGAAAACAAGGGATTATCGTTGCAGTCAGTACTACAGGCGCAGCACACAGCGATTTGTCGCGCCACGTAGCTTATTTAACTGTCGAGAATTTCGAGACAAGACAAGATTTTCGATTTCGAGATCAAGACAAGAATGTATATTTCAAGATTTTTTTTCGAGACAAGACAAGATTTCCTAAAATCTCGTCTTGTTTTGTCTTGCGGCATCCCTATTTGTAAGAATGATCAGAAACTTTCCTCTCTTGATAGTAAGTAAATGGTCATAAAAAGCACGTAAAGTGTGAGCCTATATTCGACAGGACACATACGGTTTGAAAGCTGTCGAAATGAGTAAAAAATATGCTTTTACGTACAAAATTTCAAGACAAGTGTCTGCCCATTTTTAGGTACTTGTCTTATCTCGTACTTTCATAAGTACGAGATAAGACACCTTTTCACAATTAAACATATAATATGGAAATGGCACGCAACACAAAATTACGTTGTCAAAACATCTATTCTCACGCCTATTAGTTTCGCCCTTTATCATAACGAAGTGCTATAACACACACAAGCATGCGTCTATATCCTTTGAACCGAAAATGAGCATACGGACATGAGCTCGTACTTGTGTGTGTGAGAGACTACCAGTTTTGTCAGGTCGCCGACTAATTCGGTGTCGCCACCATCAACGCGGAGTTCTTAACTGAGTATTCGAGAACCTTAAAAGGATGATGGAGCCGCTTGTACAGATAAAACTAGCGTTTCTGACGTTTCTTTCCTGTCTAATTTCTTCGTAATGGTTTTGCAGAATAAATATTTCTTCTTAACAATTTAAATATTCAGACTAATGTACCTGCCTCTGGTGTATTTTGTGTCCAAAGCTGGGAAAAGTATGAAATCATAGATTTCTTTATCCATTTAATCTCAATATGGCGACCAACGCTGAAGATAAAAATGAATAAAGAAATCTGTAATCATAAAAATGAAAAGTTCAAGCCATGTTCAAAAAAGGTTACTCAAAAATTTAAACCTTTTTTTCTAAAAATAATATATTACCGTGAAAAGTAACTGATACATTATTAATAAAAGGGCCAGTACAAAGTGAACACACATAAAGTTGTAACGATGCCCCCCCAAATGCATCGTTCCCGCGTGGTGCCAACGGGAGTAGGAGCGAGGCGCCTGCTCGTATGTTGGAGTAATTCGCAGGAACAGCAGCTCCCGTTAGAACCGCCAGTCTCGCCGAAAAGTACCGACCGTCGTCGGGGACCGCCGATCGGAAATCTTCTCCCACGAGAAGCCGATCGGCGGAAAATACCGCGACCGGCCGAAGTATTGCGAGCGAGACTGGCGGTCGAGTATAAGATACCGCGATATCAAGCCGCGCGTGGCATTTTTGTCTTCTCCGCTTTCCTGATACATCCGATCCGATTACCAGTTCCTAGCTCACGATACCGATCCATCGACTCGCTCGTCCGACGAACCTGAGGGGTAGGGTGTACCCTGCCTCTGCCGGGCGCTCCCGGCCGCCGAACGAGCCGTCCAGGAAACGCATCTCGAGCACGCAACCACATTCACGTGTTGTTCCGACGAACCTGAGGGGTGGGGTGTACCCCGCCTCTGCCGGGCGTTCCCGGCCGCCGGACAACCGTAATTAGTTAGTACTCCCACCTTCCTTACCTTCTTTTCCGCATCCCGAAAATCCCGTCTTGGTACTTGACATTCGAAAAGGGGTAGGGCGCTCCCTGCCTCTGTCGGGCGTTCCCGGCCGTCAAGTACCAACTCCGTTTCCTTTCCTAGCATTGCCAAAATCACGTATCGCACCGCGAAACGACGCTTGCTGGCGTATACCCGCGTTCCGCCGCGTTGCAGATCGTCGTCGAGAAAACCCGCGACCGCCGGCATATATCTCGCGCCGTTTAGAGTTAGTTTTCGTTGTAGAGTCCGCGTCCGTTTCTGCGTTCATATATATATATATTTCTTTTCTGTTGTCCGCGCTCGTTTGTATATATATATATATATATATTTTGTGTTACCCGCGCTCGTTTATTTTCGTCGCTGTATTATTGTAAGTCGCGTCCGTTAATTATATATTCCTATATGTTATTTGTCTCGTCGATTTTTATAATTTCCGTATCATCTAAATTGTCTAAATAAACTATGTTTCTTGTCTAACTATTAGTTCCGCATCAGTATTTTCTTTACCGATTTCCGACGCTTCACATAATTTTCCGCCACACCGTTCCGACGCGAATACTCTTTCCGCCGAACCTTTTTTATACGACACGCATTTTTCCGACGAGCTAGTCCGAGTATAAAAATTAGGTAGTTACAATGGCGCCCGAACAGGGACCAGATAAGAAAGGAGATTCGCAAACCGCGCCGAAGGGATGGCTTTACAAGCTGAGCAAAGCCGATTTAATCCAGGAACTCATGATACACGGGTTAAGTACCGAGGGGACGCTAGACGACCTACGGCATGCATTAAGTGCATATATAGATGCACACCCGGAAGAATTCCAGGCGCAAGCCCCCCCGGTACTTCCCCGCCAGAGCTCAATCGTATCCGAAAGCCGTGCCGACGCAAACAATCCGTTCGCCGCTCTATCCGCTACCGCCGGGCCGCCGTATCCCGAAAATCACCCCGGGAAGGTGATAAATCAGATGCGAAAATGGGGGCTGCAATTCGACGGGAAGGACCCGTGGTCATTTCTGGAGCGCGCGGAGGAGCTCAAGGACGATTACGAATTAACAGACGAACAGTTCTTTAAAGGACTTCCAGTTTTATTGAAAGGGGACGCGCAGACGTGGGGACGCGGGAATCGGAAACGATGGTCCAGCTGGAACGACTTCGTCGATGATTTCAAGGCCGCGTTCTTACCACACACCGATGACTTTACCCTCCTAGAGGAAGTCCACGCCCGTAAACAAAAACCGGGGGAAATTTTTTTTAAATACTCTACCGCCTTGATCGCGTTAATGAACCGGGCCGGAATCACCGACGAGTCGCGACAGCTGGAGTACCTCTATCGAAACATGCATTATTCCTACCAATGGCGCATCCGCCGGCAGGATGCGCGCACAATACGCGAACTCAGTCGCGAGGCCGCCAATTGCGAGAGATTAACCGCGCTGGAAAACGCCGAGAAAAAGGCGACAGCCGCGCCCCGCGAGATTCCCGCCACCGCGGCAGTGTATAGCCGGGATGAGTGTTGCTGGCGCTGCAAGCAGCGGGGGCAC